AATGTCAAAAGGCAGGCTAAAATGAAAGAAATGATGCCAGACAATCCCAGTCATCTGATATTTTGAGTACCTCTTTGTTTTCCCCCCTCTCCAACATAAGATTCTCTGCCTAGAGAATTCTCATAATAGTCAGTATGATCTCAATTTGTTGTCAAAAAAGAAAAATAGAACAATTCAAATATCAAATATACCATTAAAAATGACAAGAAAATTATGTTTACAGGACAAGCCTGCATAAATATCCTGCAGAAAAGCATTTGTGACAGATTGAAGGAAAACACCAACCTTCTTAACAACATTAAGCACATATGGTTGGAGTTCTTCCGTTCGGTATGCTCCAACTCCAAGATTGAGTTTTGCGTCATTTGTGTCTGCTCTGAATGCTTCAGAAACCCCAAGAATTGGGTCTGGCGGGGCCATTGTTACACCCTCAAAGCGAGAAACATTGACAGCAACAGTCATAGATATCCGACCAAAAGACTGCAAAATCAGAAATAAGATATAAGATATAACTCAGATACTGATGGGAGGGGGGAGACAAATCAAACCAGTCCATTATTTGAATATGGAAATATATTGAGGAATCATATAGAAAATATGAAACTTTTAAAGCATTGTAAATTTTCAGAAACTATAAAAGCACTCTAAAATATCAAGGAAGCGTGCACTGGTATTTCAGAAAAAAATGATAAAAGAATCACCAAAGCACACTCTTAACTCATTATGCTAACAAAAACAGCCATGCAGAATATGATACAGACCAAGAAAATTAGTATTATAATTCCAATTTTAAGTCTTATGAATAAAAACCTTCATAAAGCATTGTCTAATTAGTATTATAATTCCAATTCTTCAAATAAATAAATTTTTATTTCCAGAGGAAAAAGATATAGACCAAGTAAGACAAGAAATCTATAAGACGTCCCCTCCACACATTATTCCAGTATTCCAGTACCTCATAGTGAATTTAAACATGGAATGGTCCCTTTTATGTGGACCTATAGGGTAGGTTCTTCTACAGTTCTACTTATGGTGTTTGTGTTTGGAAACTTAGTCCTATTGCAAGACTGTAATCAAGGTTTTCACTTTAGGAGTTTATCCAACAAGGGTACTTTGCATTATAAGCGTGTCATAAACCCAGCTGGTCCAGCATGGACCCGAACCAAACCAAACTGGTCCAACCCCAGGTAACAAACTTAGCCTCTCAGGTTAGTGACTCAGAGAATTCACTAATAAATTAAAGAGACAAATGGGGACCCAGGACCTATTTATGGGGAAAATCCAAAATCTCTCTCTGGCTCATTCTTCTATCATCTCCCTCTCTCCCATGGCCTTCGATCTCTTACTACTGAAATTCTATAACTGACAAACTACAGTGACCTAATCCTTCGTTGGAAGGTATGTAGGCAGCTCCTCCAGGGGTTCAGCCGACTCCCTTTCTCCCCTACCATGGCCTTGCCAGAACCGATGGGCTTACAATATCCAAATCACAACTTATAACACTTCCATTTACAACATGAACAATTCTTTTCTTTTCCTTTGTTTTCTTTTCTTTTTTTCCCATTTTTTGGGCAGGGGGATAAGCAGCCTTGGAAGTAAGTATTATATATTATGATCTTCTTTGTTTTTTTTATTCTCTCTAAACCAGTCTTGCACTTACAGAGAAGTGTTTTCTTTTGATTTTGAGTGATCTTTTATCCTGGTTTTGACAAAAGTAATGAGAAATTTAGAGCACTAAAAAAATAATTAGTAAACTGTGTTCGACAAAGAAGGTTTATCTTAAATGTCAATAGGCCGCATGTTTGTAATATAAGATAAACCTTCTTTGTCGAGCACAGTTTACTAATTATTTTACTCCTTGTAATCAAGCACCATTAATTTACTCCTTAGCAAACATTATGCATGTTCTTGGGAAGAGAAAGGATAAAAAGTATTACATCCCCCTATAATACTTTCTATCTCATTTGCTATTTGAAATGCTATATAATATTCTGATAACAGTCTTGGTTGAGTAGATGGAAACCCTTCATAGAAATAACAAATGGACGCTTGTTTCTGTTTGTGAGAAAGAGGAATTTGATGCCTAGTCTTAAGTCCAAAGAAATAAAGGGGGAGAGAAGAAAGAATACGAGACCTATGGATGAGGATTCTTGATAATATTAACCTTACATCATAATGAAGCCAAATACTGAGAAAACAACATACCCAAGTGTTAGTTCAAATAAATGAAATTATTTGCTTGATATGTTTTTACCAATAGATTTCACTACACATAGTAGAAAGTTGATTTGGTTTCATTTGTTTGCACCTACATGGTAGAAACTCTCTTGTGAAAAGATCTCACTTATTTTTGTAAAGTAGACACCAGTTTCATGTAAAAAATGATGCCTAGCCACTTTCATGTTTAACAATTACATGACAAATGCCTTTCCTGAAAACACTGACAAATGCCTAACCACTTTCATGTTCTGCTCTTTAAGGCATATCCTTTTTTATGAATATTTAAGACATAACTTTTAAACCATTTCTAATAGACTCTGCATGTCACTGATTTTAGAAACGTCTTGTCATTTTTTTTTCAATTTTCTGATTGAGAACGGTAACCTGTATTAAGATAAAGATATTTTGCAAGAAAGTTTAGAAGCCTGATTTTCTTTGGGTTTTTGATCAATGATAGCTTAATGGTTTTAAGACTGTTTTGGAAGTTTGAGTTGACTAGTTTCTAAACCTGAACCAGTGCTGAGAATTTCTCTGAATAAGGTCAAACTTGATTGTTGAGGATTAAGGACTTTTTAGAATCAACAAATATTTAGAAACTGAATAAGGAGGATGATCCTGATTAGCAAGGATTATTATCTCTATAAAGTCAAGGGAGTGGCGCTATTTCTTAGGGGCTTTGGTAGTTGCTGCTATGTCTTCTTCTTTTTGCCCCCTTCCTTTCGTGGGTAGCAAGGAATTGAGGGGGGAAGTGGCTTAGATATATAAGACAACATAACTAACATACTGAAATAAGATATCTTTGTTTATCAAAGTCAAAGGAAGCATAGCGTAGGAATTAAAAATGACAGATTTATAATAAGATGTGGGGCAATAAATCAGAGTAAAACAAATAAATAAATATAAAAAAAAAATAGCAATAAGGAAAGTTGAAAAGATTCTCTAATCACAATCAAATGCAATATGAGTTCCATATTAAATTTCGAAGGAAACTAAAAGTATAATTAGACATAATTGTAACTTACAACAAATTAAAAATAAATGAATCATATAAAATTGACATAACACTTTCCCAAAGTAAAGTCAAACACATAAAACGAAAATTAAAAAAAAAAAAAGGAAAACAAATTTAATATCAGTGCACCAACGAATGATGTGGGTTCCCCACAAGCAAAAAAGCACTCCAAGGATCCAATGAAAGACTGTACCAGCCCCCAGTTTAGATTCTGAACAGGGCAGTTTACATTGCTTTGTGTTATTTGCGAAACTAAACCTTAACTCCGATTCTATCACAGGACAAACTTCTCCTTTTAAGAATACATAATCATTAGAATAATAAATTTTCCTTATTTCTCTTTTTCTACCATTTCAGTGGGACTACCTGTGACTTAAGGGAGGAATTTCCCTTTGCCTTGAGAAACGAATTTGTCAAGCCGGAGCTACCGAACTTCACTTTCTGCGGTGGCACCTGATCCCAGAACAATAATAGACGTGTTTAGGGAGGGAAAAACAAACAACTAGATACAGATAAATAGATAGTGAACTCTAATAATCGAGAAACAAGTACAGAAGCAGGATTTTCGATAAAATCGTAGCAATACCTTAGAATTCTCACTTACGGCTAGCAAAGCCAAAGGAGAGGCGGACCCGAGGGAAAGAATCGTCGACGAAGCCATCTGAAATAAATTAGCATGAACTGATAAGATCAATCTGGTTAAACTTATCGAAATGGTGAAACAACCGATTTTCTACGATATTTGATGAACTCAGAAAAAAAAAATGCCATTCTATCTACGCCTGGAAGTCCAAAACTTCGAATTTTTGGGACGAAATGAACCTTGAGGATGCTTGACTGTATCGAAAACGATGAGAACCGATTGGAATCAGCACCTAATGAACGGAAAAAAAAAACAAAAACAAACTCACCTGGACACAGAAAGAGAACCAGGACAGAGACAGTTAAAGAGTAGTTTGAACTTCAAAGATCTCCTGCTCTTGGATCGCAGCTATGAAGAAGAGAAGAGGTGAAGTCGAGAGAGACGATAAAATCTACGGTGGTGCGTCTTTGCATTTATATTTGTGGTTGATACTATAGATGCTGACGTGCTGCATGAATGCTACAGTCAACTGGCTGAACGTGCAACGCGCAATAGACAGATCGGGCTCAGTGAAACTCTTGTCTAGTCATGGACACAGGGCCCACCCGTTTTGTATCTCGTTGTTCCATTGTTGTTGCACTTTAGCATTTCTCTTCTACTGTTTTGTACGAGCACACAGTCTCCGGTCGTCGCATCTGGCAACTGCCGAGTGACATCGGCATGAGCCTTTCGATGTTGGCAAAGGGGGTGGGCGTGCCTTTTCGGGATGAATGACGTGTGTAAAGACGGATCAGCAATCTGCACGCTGGAAGATTGATAGCATCCCCCGAGTTCAGATATGCTACCGAGTACCGACAAAACGAGATCAGATAGGCGCCCCACAGCACATCACTCCCGTGCGTGCATTGGTAACATCTCTAATACATGGCACGGGGGAGATGTTCCCCATGCATAACGCTGGAAGAAGATTTGATAACATCTGTATGGGGAGAGCGAATTCCAATGAAGAGGTGAGATGAGCGCCCATCTTATCTCGCCCTACGATACATCGGTACTTCAAAATCCAATCTACTATTAGTCTACTAGTTTTGGGGGCGAGGGTTAGGGGACTGAGTTCACATCTCTGCCCCACAGCACATTCCCGCCGTGCATTGGGAACTTTAGGGCTGTGGGGATGTGTTGTGGGGCGGAGATGTGAAATCTAGGGTAGTCTAGATCTCCTTTCCAGAATCAATGATGATAGTATCAGAATCAATGATGTCATCATTGGGAGATGTTCCCAATACACGATGGGATATATTGTTAGATGTTGTGGGGCGTAGATCTGAACTCCTACACACTACCTCGTGTATTGGGAACATTTCCCTGTGCATAATACTACCTAGAAGGATGAGATGTTTTCCATGTGTGACAATGATATTATGTGGGTAGACGTGGGCAGAATTCTTATAGATAGAGATCTAGACTTGGGTGAGAGAAGTTGGTATGGTCTAAAATCTATAAGACCCTTCCTAAACCCACTTTAGTTTCTTGTTATCTGAATCTTTTTCCCATAAAAAATGGTTTCAACATGTTCTTACATAATTTGTGTCCACACATCTCATACACTTCACATAACTAGCCGAAGGGTTCTCTCCTAGATGTACAAAGTTGCCCTATACCCATGCATCAGAATAGCACCACCCAAGAGGTGGCTTGTTGGTGTATAGACCTGTTCATGGGCCGGGTGGCCCGACGGGCCGGCCCGGCCCCCAGACGGGCTTGAACGTGGTTATAGGCCCGTAGGCTTAAATTCGGGCCAAAAAGTCTGGCTCGCAATAAATTCGAGTCGGGCTCGGGTTTTGTCAAAATAGCCCGGCCCGACCCGACCTAATATTAGACTTAAAGTGAGTAATGTGATTATGTCCATTTGAACAAATTTTTTTATTTAAGAATGTAAAACTGTGTTTTAAAATATAAAAGAATGGGGGAAAAAACCATCTTGTAGGATCATTATTCATTTAAATAGGAAAAAAACTATCTGAATTTTTAATTCTAATTTGAATAGGGAAAATTGTTTTTTTTTATTAGGTCGGGCTTCGGGCTTTTTATCAGGGTCGGGCTCGGGCCTAGCATATTTCCCTTATTGACAAGTGAAAGCCCGGCCCGACCCATGAACAGGTCTATTGGTGTATTAGCTAGTTTATTCTAGTAGTGGCGTGGAATCGAGTCCCGCAACCACCACTTTGGGGAGAAAAGGGGTTAAGGGGTGGTTAATACCAAAAAACAAGAAAAAAAAATCTTAGGCAGTGAGAATGAAGGCTTTGCCTTCATCTATATAAGGCCCCACCTAAGAGGACAATTTACATACTTGAGTTGGCTCAAGTGTTCACACATGTATCAACTAATTAAAATTTATTTATATGTTAAAACTTAAAATTTCTATATCTTATATAAAATAATAAACATTTAATATAAAATAAAATATACTTGTATATATATTACATGTATAATATATTATATTGCAAGCTAGGCCGGGCTTAAAATGTTGGGTCTAGGCCCAGCCCAAAATTTTCTAGGCATGATGCCGGCCTGGGTTAGGTCGGGCCAAGAATGATCACACCTAACTTCCACATAAGCCGAGTTCATATGAGCTTTAGATTTTGATAACATGACCCATAGAGTCATGATGTCCCTACATATAAATAGTATTTTATCATCATCATCATTCAAGCATTATCCCAATTATATGGGGTTGGCTACATGATTCTTGTTTTGCCAATCCATTCTATTTAAAACCATATCCCCTATTAAATTATTAGTGCATTAGTGCTTAAATCATTTCTTGCTACTTCAACCCATGTTGTTTTTTATCTACCCTAGCTCTTCTATCCCCTTCCACTTATAACAAACCATTTTTCTAAATAGAGCTATTGTTGGTCTTCTATGCACATGACTAAACTATATTAGCATACTCTCTCATTTTATCACTTATTAGACCTATTCCTAAGTTTCTACAAATGGCTTTATTCTCGATCTTGCCCTTTCTAGTTTTTTCACTCATCCATCTTAGTATTCTCATTTCTACCATACTCATTTTTATTTGATATTGCATTGAGATATTTGATTGCCAATATACCTTTTCATGGTATTGATACATCTCACAAGTTGTCCTATACCCATGCATTGAAATAGTAATATCAATATCCACTAAACCAAGAATCCAGTAAGCAATCTTTGCATTATCAATATTATAGTATTGGATGGCTTTTACATCAGTAGGGGTATAAATAGTATCTTATTATCATCATCATCATCTTCCATGCCTTACCCAAACTATATGAGGTCAATTACACAAATCTTATTTCACCAATATTTTATTTAAAACTATACCCATTGTCAAATTATTAGTACTTAAATCATTTCTTACTACTTCTACCCATATCCTTTTTAGTTTACCCCAATCTCCTTTGGCCCCTTCCACTTGTAACAAATCATTTCTTCAAATTGGAGTTGTTGATGGTCTTCTATGCACATGACCAAAACATCCTACCCTATTCTCTCTCTCATTTTATCACGTATTGGGGCTACTCCTAGATTTCTATGGATGGCTTCATTCTCAAACTTATCCTTTCTAATTTTTCACTCACACATCTTAGCATTTGCATTTCTACCTTACTCATTGTAAAGATACTAGGCCGAATGGGCCCTAGCCCATTAGTGTCTTTCTTACTAGTTCTTTCATGTTATGTTTTTTTATTGGACCTTTTCTTTATGGGCCTTTAGTTCTTTTTATATTTTTCTAAGTTTAGTGCTGATGTGGACGTTGGTGTAGCCGGAAGCATGTTGTTAACCACTTCGGAACACCAGTTTAGAGATTTATAAATTTTTTCAATCCTCACATAACCTTAAACAACGTAGTACGTGGTGAGGAAGGGGTCGAACCCACAGGGAAGCAAGAATAAAAATTATTATTTTTTTGTTTCGGATAGATAAAAGGAAAATGGATATGGGATTTGCAGAAAATAAGAAATGGGATTTATTAATGTTGAAATTAAAGATTTAGAATTAAACAAGACAATAATTAAAATTCAGAATTTAAAGAACACTGAAATCAACAAAAGAACAAATAAAAGTGATCCAAAATTCGGATCCAGTGGCGATAGCTGTCCAAGAAGACAAAATACAAGTTTTTTCCTTCCGTTTCAGCCCTTGAAACCATTGAGACACATTAGCTTTGAATCGGACAAATTCAGATATGCAAAACACACAAACGAACAAAAATTAAATCTAAAAAGATTTGCTACAATAAAAATAACATAAAAGAAAATAAAGAAAATGAAAAGGATGGCTGATCAAATCTAGTGGTGGTAGTTGCAGATTGGATAGACTACTTGCAGGAACCCCTCCTGACAAGACCTGGCGTCATTCCCTTCTACAACCCTTGAACTCCTCAAAAAGCCTTAGCCTGGTGAACTGAGTGAATTGACCAACCCTTTCTCCAGGACCCTTGGGGTCCTTTTTATAGAGAATGGTGGATAAAACTAGGATTAGAGAGAAAGAGGGGGGTGGTAGCTGGGTTTTTTGTAGAAATATGGGTGCCCTAGGGTTGAGAATGGAATGTTAGGATTGTTCTAAGATGATCCTAAGGCTGAGAAGAGAAGGAGAGGGCGCCCAATATTATGTATGGCTGAGATTTGGGCTACTAAGATTAGATGGTGGAGATTTAGGTGCCTAGGGCTAAAAGGTGGATATTAAAAGGAGTGAGTGGTGCTCTAGAGTGAATGGCTGAGATAGAAGGTAAAATAGAGGGCTGAGATCTAGTGGCTAAAGGCTGCATGGTGGGGATTACAAGTTAGGTGGTGCCCTAAGGTTAGAATGCTAAATAGAGGGTGCCCTAAAATGAAGGGTGGAGATTAAATGGAATGAAATGTGAGGATTTAGCAGTTAGGGACGACTAGGGTTTGTTATAGGTGAAAAGAATGAGTGGGGAGGCGCCCTAGGGTTTGCTAAGGAGAGGGGAGTATGCTAATATAGTAGGAGGGGTGTCATTCTGGGTTTAGCAGATAGAAGGCGCTCTCCTGTGCTCAGTTTTTCATAGAAACACCCCCTATCTCAGCTGGAATTCTCACCAGCTTTCCAAAATCTGTAGAAAACTCTGTAAATTTCCCAGTTTTTACCCAGAATTTGCATAGGGACCCTTGAAAGTCACAACATTGAATTTAACTAGAAAATGGTACAAATTGGTCAATCTAAGGTCTAAAATACCCCTAAAATGATTCCCTTAAAGCATCAAAATACAGAGTTATCAGACGCCTACTTAATGACCTCGTTGTAATTTATGTAACTTAAGTATGTTTTATAAAAGATAAGAGTAGGGAAATAGGAGACATTCAAACTCCTCCTTTCTTCTCCAATCTTCCTCCTTCTTGTTGTCTCCTTCTTCTTCTCTGATTTCTTTTACTTTATTC